TACATCAAAGAGGATTGGTTGCCCAACAATAGCCTCACCATCTACTGCAACAACCTCTCCTGCAATCTCCTCATCAGATTTAACTACCACTATGGCCAAAGGCTCCACATCAATAGGATCAAAAGTCGGAGTTCTCGGAGCCACCCTCTTCCCCGCCTTCCTAGCCGGAAGCAACCTCACCGTTCTTGGAAAAAAAAGCGCACAAAACAAAGCAAGGGTAAAGAGATCACCGATGGAGATCATTCCTTCATCTATATGCCTGAACCAGAGAGATGATGAGGAGATCTTACCAAGAAGGCTAACCTCCTTTCCAAAGATCTTATTACCCATGAAAGGTATACATGTACTCCAAGGGTCAGCCTCATCAACATAAAAAATTGGGTCTCCCAATCCTCTAGTCTCAATCACCTTTTCAAAGGTAGTCTTCTCCAATGGTAAACCTGCGGGACTAGAAGATCCCTCAGCACAAGAAAAGATTTGTACCTTAAGACCACCATGATTCACAAGGGAAGATGGACCAGCAGAGTCCACCAAAGAAGCCAACACCTTATTGTTCCAAGAAGAATTAACACAATTTGGGAAGATCTATGTCCTCTCTTCTAGGGAAAGATGATCAACATTCCCCACTGTGGATGCCTCCTTATGCTTCATGATTAACCATGAATATCTCTCTGTCGAATTTGGAAATCGGTTAACTGCAACCCACTTCTTTTCAAATTCTCGAAATCTTGGCCTTCGCGCTCTAGCAGGCTGCCTTAATCTTTGAATTTTTCGGCTAGATTGCCTTTGACCCTTAAAACCGAAATCAGAATCCTGGCCAACTTGAGCTTGAAGATCAACCCTAGAGTTTTCCACCACCACCATCTTCCCTTTCACTACCACTCGATCATAAATCAAAGAACAAAGGTCCACTCCTGACAAGACAGAGATATTGAAATTTTGACCATTAACCAGAACGTGAACTTTTTCAAGAACATGGGAATCAACCAGCTTCCAAATTTTAACTCTGAAAAAAAAATAGTCTGACCCCATAAAGTGATCCCAATTAATATCACAGTATTCCCCACATACATTGGCTATAGACTAGAAAATGGGAAGACTCCAGGCACTAAATGGGATACCCCCTAATCTGACACACACACAAACTTTCTACATATGCGAATCATGAACAATATGACTCCAACGATCTAACAAAAGAAGCCTACCCCTATTATGGGGTAATCTATTGTGAAGAGCCGACAAGACCTCCTCCATTGATTGAAGAAAGCACACTATTTTATTGCCAAGTGCATAAGATAAACCCCAGCCTCTATGAGCCCAATCACTAAGCCTAAAAACATCATTAAAAGGAAGTGAGAAAGATCCCACCACTAAGCTTTGGTTCTTCCAAGGTGGGCAGTCCCAATACTAGGATCCACCACTACCTTAGGAAGCACACCGTCTACCTCAATTACATTATAAGCTTGCATCTACATACTTTTTCATACTGTCGGGGAATTTTTTTCCGCAAAACAGAGACTTCTTATTCTTTTATTTTTTCTTGAAAATTCTCTTGTAATCTTTTTGTTGGCCTTTGGGGGAAAAGGAGAACAAGAAAAGAACACTGATAATAAAATTTGAAACTCAAAAAATATTATAGATCTTGCAATATGAACACTTATTGTTAAAGCAAAATAGATAGTTTAGATAATTTGTTACAATATACACTATTTTTAGAGCTTGAAATCGAAATTTGTTTTCACAACCATAATATTCAAGTCGAGATGATCTGTAAAGGTTTTCCAATCCTTGACTTGTAATTTTTGATGTGTTATGAAGTATTAGGATTTACTTATTTTGATAGGGCTACAATACTATTAAATCATTTTTCTTAAATAAAATACATCCAAATGAGATATAAAAAGTAGTGAAAAAATGGATTTTGAAAAATCAATTTGTGCCCAAGAGTATTTTAGAAATAATCTTAAAAATAAGAAAAAAATTGTGAAAATAAGTATTTATGGCTAAAATACTTCTCAATCTTTTCCAAAACAATAAAAAATATTAAAAAACATATTACAAATTTTTTTTTTAATCTTTTTGATTTTTTTTTTTAAAGTTCCTGCAAGATTACCCTAACTGATCAAAATTGGTCATGACCAGTGGCGAGTTTCGGGTAACCCGACAGTGTCCCCGTTGACTCAAGATCAGTTATGTGACCACTAACTGTGATTGTGTACTAATTATCGTCTCCCATCTTTTTCTTCCTCGTTGGTCCTAATTTCATGGTAGGAGTCCCAAAGAATCAGGGCTAGTAATTCTCATAGATTCAGGTTTGGATAATTAAGGTTTCCACACTTTTTATAGCAAATTTTGAGAAATTCAAGGTGTTGATATTTTAGGGCTTGGCATCGACAGATTGGGGAAATTTCAAAGAATATCATTGACAAATGAGGGCAAAAGGGGCACAAAAATATGTTTGGTACCTGATTTTTGTTCTATCTTAATTATATTTTCACTAACTTTTTACTAACGAAAATGGTACTTCCTGGCCCTCAAATTGTAGGGGATACGGATAAAAATTAGTACATATTTTGCATTCTTTATTTCTTTTTGACAGGGTTACATAGGAATGAAACTTGAGATGTTAAACTATGAAAATACAGCCTCTACTGTGCTGACCCAAGGTGAATTCCTAGTGCATACTTTGCATTATTTATCTATCGATTTTGTCGAGGGACGGTATAATGGAGGACCGTTTATCTCTGAAGGTGACAATCATTTTTTGCCATCATATGAATACCTGATGAATTATTTTTTGAGATTCTAAAACTAGTTGGTGGCATATGCTTTTAGCGACTGAATTTACAAACTAGTGGTAGAGAGTGATTGTGACTTCTTTGTACTAAAAATTTTAAATCGTCTTATTATATACTTTTGCTTTTGTTTTAACTTCATTGTAGGATCTCGAGATTTAAACAATTTTAGAGAGAACAATAATAAATTGGAGGAAACATGGACATAAAAATACCATTGGCACCTATGATTTCCTGTCGATCAGAATTCATTTTTTTCTCTAAAACAACATGTCTTGCCCTTGAAGTGTTGATGAGATAGGTGAGATTGATTCATGTTTTCTTTTATTATATTGATTTGGTTTTAACTTGATTGTAGTTTTTAATGATAGAATGTATATTGATTTGAGGGCTATATGTTCTTTTAAGGATCTTAATTAATTGAGAAAATGCTATGATGATGATAATGATGATGTGTTGTTTTTTCAAGTCTTGATTTTGCTTCTTTGGAAACAAATTAGCAGAAGAGAAACCTGAAATAGTTATCTATATAATAGGTGGTAGCCTTCGGCCCTCGCCCTCACATCAAGACCATTGACTATATAATTCCGAGTGATGCAGTAAGAAGACTTGTACAATGGTTTGATACGGCTGTAGTCCTATCAAAATAAGGAAAGATTTCCCTCACAACTCACCGAAGATTACAATTTTGGTATTGTAAAGTGCTTCCCAGACGAGATTCAAGATGAGGCGATATTATGTTTTCATAAAGACCAAGCTTTAGAAACGAGAAAGGTTTCTATACTTCCCAGATTGTATAGAAAATATATGTTTTCCCCCATCTTACTGTCCAATTTATATCAAGTGAGTCACTAATCGTTTGATCTAGATCTGATACCTCAAAGTATTTTATTTTTATTTATTTTTACAAATTATACAAATATGAATTCGGTATGCTTCATTATCTCAAAGGGGTGCACCACCTACAAAATATTAAAAACAAATTTTGATAAAATATGATGACCAAAATACCCTTTAAAACTTTTCGAAGTATTTTGGTTATCTTATTTTATTGAGAAAAATTTAATATATATTTTTTTACGGTTGCACCTTTAAGAAAGGAGTCAATGCCAAAAATTTGGAGTTTTGTAAGCAAAATTAAAAATAAAATGGTATAAAGACATGGCATTGTGATTGGGACCATAATATATAGAAACATGACATTGTGATTGGGACGATGATATAGAGACATGTCATTGTGACTAAGGCCAGGCCATAATATTGAGATATGATATTGTGATTGCGACTATCTCAACCGTCCATTCGAAATGAACCGTGGGGATGGCATATAAAATTTATTCGAAATGAACCGTGGGGATGGCATATAAAATTTATTCGAAATGAACCGTGGGGATGGCATATCAATTTTATGCTGCGCCCTTTCAAAAACTACATCCTAACATCTCATATCTGAATGCGACCGAAACATGCGCCCCCAGGGCCCCCTCCGCTAGAACATCACATCATGTTGATACGGCAAAAGTAAAGCACGTGGACACTCCAAACTTTAGCAATATGTGGACCCGGACAACATTTCCACCGAGTTGTCTAATTATTAAGGCCATCGCAAATCTATTAATTATAAAAAGGAAAAAAATTATATAAGATGGCAACCTTAAAAGGTAGAATTATTGAAACACGCTTTAATTGATTATTTCGACAACGAAATGTATAAATATTAAAAAAAAAAATGATTTTGAGTCTTAAGAATAGTGCATCAAGGTATCTAGACCGTTTATTTTCAAGATTTTCATATATTTATAAAATCTACTGGATTTTAATCATTTCTAGAATTTTAAATTTTATAATTAGATATGAAAATAGATTTTGAGATATTCGTAAAAAAAAAAATTGATGGGTAAGTCGCTGTGAAAGAAATAACAATAGCTTTTCTATGGAGAAACAAAAGGTTCACATCCACTTGACTGTACCTGCTTAAAACAGCACCAAACTTACACATGATAAATTTTGGAGGTAAGCCTTAATTGGATTGTATAAGATTGCAACCTTATAAAAACCACACCCTTATAAAAAATACGGGCAATGTTTTGCTTGATTGATGTTCCATTAATTTCGTAATATGTATAGAAAAGGGGCATCATTATTGTTTCATTAATGTTGGAAATTCTCAACCAAAGTACTCCAAACAAAGGCCATTTGCCCCAATTAGAAAACGATGGCACTACTGCTTTCTAATTCATCCATAAGAATTATACTTATATCACATGTACACCACTGTAATGACAATTACTTCACCAATAACTATATATGTATTCTCTTTAATAGACTGAGCTGTCATTCTGAAAGTCCATAAAACCTCGACACAAAATCACTTAATAACAGGACCAGAGATAGAGATAGAGATAGAGAGAGCTGGATGATCTGCGGCAGAGGGTACGTTAAAACGAGATTTAAGAAACATAAAATCACAAACATTATGTATATAGAGAGGATTAGCGAAAGCGAGATACTGACATAGCAGAGAAAGAGATGGAGAGAGAGAAGCCTCCACCAGCACCCTACCTGGGCACGATCCGCGCCCTGAGCGGGTTCTTCATGACGACCGTAAACGCGAACGTCTCTGTTGGGTCCGGCGGGGCCGACTCGTCCGGCACCCACCTGAAAGCCTGAACCATCCTAGCAAGCATCAAATGGACATGCAAAGTCCCCAGTGTCCAAGCAGGGCAAATCCTCCTCCCAATCCCAAAAGGCATCATCTTGACATGCCTTGACCCAGTTATATCAACATCTTTCCCATCCCCAACCAAGAACCTCTCAGGCCTAAACTCCTTAGGGTCCTCCCACATATTAGGGTCCTCAGAGAGCCAAGCAGTATAAAACTCAACACTAGCATCAGAAGGGACCCTATATCCAGCTAGGGTTGTGTCCTTAATAGCTGCATGGCTCAGCACAAAGTGGCTAGGTGGGTGCCTCCTAAATGTTTCCTTCACTATAGCCCCTAAATAAACCATCTTTTCTACGCCACTCTCAGTAATGGCCCCATCTTTACCCACCACTTCTATGATCTCTCGGTACAACTTTTCTTGGAGTTTTTGGTCCAAGACCAGGTGCAACGTTGCCCACTCTATGGTGGTTGCACTTGTATCAGTGCCTGCATTGATGATCTCAGATACAAGGGACACCAACTCTTCATGCCCTAATTTTCCTCTCCCCTCTACCTCTAGATCAAACAAAGAGTCTATGTATGCTGCTCCTTTTGGGCTCACCATGTCACTGTCTTCTCCGCCATTAAGGAAAGCTTGGCGCCTCTCGATCAATGGAACTAAGCACTCCATTTGGGTTTTCCTCAGCTCTCTAGCAAACTTTAGCTGACCTCTAAACAAGGGGGTGAAAATGGGGAGGAAGTCAGGTAATTTAGGGGCTGATAAGAGCATGATGTCCTTCAACACATTGTCTAGTTTTAGGATCTCGTCCTCTGCAACTTTTGCCCCAAAACAGATGCACACCAGTATGCTAGAGATGGTTACCCTACAACTGGAGAGAACCTCAATGAAACCTTTCTCTTGTGCTTGGAGCTTGAGTCTCTCTAAGTGGTTCTTCATGGCCCAGGTGCGAATCCAGGAGAAGTCCCTCACTCGCGAGGGCGAGATCACCTCGGTGACCAGGTTTCGACGCAGGGTTCTCCAGAGGGGGCCGTACTCGGCCGAGTTGACGGTGCACTTTCCGACGCTGAAGACGAGCCTCGTGGGCGAGTCGACAGGCCGGCTCGCGAAGAGCGGGCCCTTCTGGATCAAGGCCTCATGGATGAGGGCCGCGTCGGTTATTATGATGAGGGTGCGCTGGCCCATCTGCATGGTGAATATGGGACCGTACTTGGCTCTGAGGTCGCGGACCACGAATATGAAAGGGCGGTTTTGGAGGACCACTTGGCCGAGATTGCCTATGATGGGCCAACCAGGTGGGCCGGGCGGGAGCCCCGTGCGGCCCCCTCCCGTTCGAGACCAGCGTTGCCACCACAGGGATGCGATGGCAAGGCATGTCACCACAAAGAGGATGTCGCTCAGGTGAAAAGACGAGGAGAGAGAGGAGATGGAGATGGAGATGGACATGGACATGGCTGGTAGAGAGAGAGAGAGAGAGAGGAAAAAAGAGTTAGAGTTTTGTATTGGATTGCAGAGTGTGAGTGAAGGGGTATTTAGAGAGAAGAATGGAGTGAATAAGGCCATCCACCAGCACAGGAGAGGATTCAATTCTTTTACCAAACACATTTAATTTCACTGGTTGGACTGTGCCCGTGAGCGGCGTTGCGAGTGGGAGTGTTCAATTTTTGGAGAATGCATAAATGTTTGGATTGGTGAGAGTTTGTTCACAACTGCTCTCTCCCTCTCTCTACCCATAAATGAGCAAAACACTCTGTTTTTCCCCTTCCTCATCAATTTACCCTAACCTCTCTCACCCATAAAGGCCCCTTTATGTGTCCCCCCTTACAACTGCCGTTATCCAATTTTTTTTATTTTAAATATAGGGCAAGTTTTCTATTGCTTCCCTTACCGCTTAAAATTTATATACTTCTCTCTCTTTCCAGACTCTCTATTATGAATCAATGGCTGAGATGACGTCTCTACACTATTTTATTTTTAATTTTTAATTTTTTACAAATTATTTTGTTTCCAAATTTTGCATCCACTCCTCTCTTAAACTCGCACTCGTAAAAAATATAAAAAAAATACTCTCAATCAAGTAAAATGACCAAAATACCCCTGAAAGATTTAAAGGGTATTTTGGTTATTATACTTTATCGAAAATAATTTTAATATCATTTTAGGTGCGCCCCATTGAGGAGAATGAGAAGTACCAAATTTTATTTTCATATAATTTTTATAAAAAATTAAAAATAAAATACTCTAAGATATCAGAGCTGGATCAAACGGTCAATAGCTCACTTGATCTAAATCGGACGGTAAGACAGAGGAGAGGAAGTATATATCTTCTAAGTTGTAGAAAAAGTATAAAAACCCTTCTTTAAAAATAAAGTAAGTGTATAATGCGGCATCTCCTTTACTAGGAAAATTCCCTGTTATCAAACAAAGAAGTATTACATTACTTGAATACTGCCTAACCTTATGTCGACACCATTTCTCCAATAAGTGGCATCAAATTTTGAAGTTTGCTTCTTGAGGAATTTTGTTGTTGTTGATAAAAGGGAATATTACCCAGGAACACTATTTCAAAGCATTTATTGGATGGGTTACCTTTTCCGGAACATCACTCGAAAGCCACCTGCATCAGCGGCTCCTTTTTTACCATAATTTCCCCAACCGTATAGCGATGGTGCCAAATAACTTGTAGGGATAATTACAAATAACCCCCAAGGCTATATTTTGTTTTTGTGTAAGTTACCCCAATTAAATTTTTTTTCTCACTTTTTACCTCAAAATATACTTTCTTAACAAATACTCTCTTCTCTTTTCCACGAAAAGGCAGTCTAGCGTATTCTTAGGGCGGTCCGACAGTGTAATGTCGATTCAGTAAATAATAGTGGCTGTTTGACAGTACAAGTGGCGGTCCGGCACTGACAACGGGCGATCTGACAATAGGCCATGCAGTTCCACAACAGGCCATGCAGTCCGACAACAGACCCATGCGGTCCGGCAAAAAGCCCAAAGTGCGGTCTGACAGAGTCAACTAGAGGTTTGACACTTTTTTTAGTTTAACGGGGCCTAGCAATGTCAAAGAGCGGTCTGGCAACCCATGTATGCCGACGTGAATGTTTGGCCGAAATTAAATTTTTATGTCCAAAAAAGGGTATTTTGTAAAAAAAAAAAGTACCTTTTTTTACTTGGAGGTATTTGCTAGAAAGGTATATTTTGGAAAAAAAAGTGAAAAAAAGTTTGGTTGGGGTAACTTGTATATAAAGTCTAGTCGTGGAAAGTCATTTACAATTTTCCTAACTTGTATTTATTTTATGGGTGTGGTTCGAGGCCCTAAACAATCAAAATAAGGCACACCTTCAAATAATGTCCAAAGATATTGGATATCTTTGTAATGGCTTTAAAATTTATTTTCATCACTTGAAAATCTTGAAAATTGATGGTCCACGAAATGCATTATAAACACATGAAAATCTTGAAAGTTGGATGGTCTACAAAATGCACTATTGCCTAGACTTGAAATCCATTTTTTCTCATATCCCTACATTTTGATATTGAGATGATAGACTTTAGAAATTTTGAGTATCAAAACGACCTCTTCTAGTGAATTTTTGAGGTGTGCCTTAATTTCATGGTTTAAGGCATCATTTATATAAACTTTTTTCTCTTTTTATTGAAGCTTTGTTTAAAGGGTGAGGTTTATATAAGGTTGCCCCTATTGATAAATTTCTTGACTTAAACGGATCCGATTCCTATAAAAAATTAATTGATTTTTTATATTTTTTTTATCATTTTGATTTATAAAATAATAGAAAGTCATCTTTTAATGTTTTAAATAATCAAAGAGAAATGAAAAATTATTTCTAAAAATCATTTTAATTCATAAATATTTGAGAGGGTCCACCAAATCCACCATTGTGATGTATGTGGGGCCCACATAGGGGCCCCATGAGTGGCACACCCCACTTAGTAGGGGTACTTTCTTATTTTCTAATCTTGTGAATCAAGACAATCAATTAAATTGAAAGTTTATGAAAAGTGTTTTGTAGATATTTTAATTGAATGTCTTGTGTATCTAGATTGTTTGATTAAAAGAATAAGGAATAAATATTTACTAAATGAGAAAGTATACATAATATTTTTTTATTTAAATATTTGATCGGAATAGGACTAAGAAATTGAGGATAATGTCATAACACATTCTTTAGAATCTTGATGATGGATGTAAAGAATGGATGACTCGCATCTCTCACTCCACAAGTCTCTTTAGATCGACAGTCAAAATTTGATCCAATTTAATTATGACAAATCATAAGATATAAAAAATATATAAAATGGACTCTCCCCCTTATCCAAATCTTTACACCAATTCTCTCTTCTCTCTTTAAGAATCATCTCTCTCTCCAAGAATTCTAAAAGGGACACGCCCCAATCTAGGGCTTCATATCTCTTTCCCTAAGTTTCAAGAGGAGGCACGCCCCGACATAGGCTACTCATTTTGAATTCCCAAGGGGACACACCCAATATATCTTCTCTCTATCTCTCATGGAAGTTCTAAGGGGCAAAACTTAGATTGGGATCGGTTCTTGATTTGTAGGTAGCAAAATGGAACATCCCCTTACTAGTAGATATCTCCCTCTCCCTTTGATTTATATCTTTCATCTCTCTAAAGATCAATCAAAGATAACTTGAACAAGACTATGGCTTTGAGAGAGTTTTGCCAATAAGTAAGAGAATCAAGATATCAATCATAGATCCCAAGCACCATCCGAAGGAGGAGACTCGACGTGGGGTATACTAAGCCTGATTGAGGTAATCTCTGGTAAATTTTTTTTAATTTTTTTTTTTTTATGTTAAGCTCTTTTATTCCGATAAAGCAATGTGTTAAGATTTTGATTTAAGTAATTGTATTCAATAGTGTTAGCAAGTGAGAATTGCGTTTCTCTTTTTCTCTTTAGTTGTTTTAAGAGTTGTTTATTTGTAATTGAAAATTGTGAGTGATCTTGTCGGAATAGGAATAAAAAAATAATAGTAATTTATATCCACCATGCTTGATCACATAGTCCTACTTAGGCCGGCAATACACTGGGCAGCCCAGCCCCCGGTTGGTCTAATCTACTGCCTAGACAAAAAAAATATAGTTGGATACTTGAGATGGGCCATGGCTATGGTTGACCCGTCCGGCCTGATCTAGGACCGAATGTGGGGCAAGGCACAGGCCAAGCTTGGGCTGCCCCTATACAGACTCGAGATTGGTTCAGGCTAGGCTCACCAGGCTCATTGCTAGTCCTTTACATGTAACTTGTTTCGCATGATGGGGGAACACCATTATTGCAAATGTTGGTTTGCAGTAGTTCCTTCAAGTGTTTCTTATGCACCATACTGCCTGTAAATGGATGCCTCATTTCTGCTTGGAGATCGGTTTCCACATTTTAAATCCTTTTTTTTATGAAAATGGCAGGAATTAACATATTGGAAATATTGAAAGAGAGCCACGGACCCAAAAAACACTGGCGGTAAGTTATATTTTGTGGAGTAGTTTGAGGTCAGCCCAAAAGAAGGATTTCAAACCTAGAGCAATAATAATTATAGGATATACATAAATAATAAATTAATATAATATATATTATAAATAATATTATATTAATTAATTTATTATAAAACATACAATTAATATATTAATAAATATTATATAAAAAAAGCTGATACATAATATATATATATATATATATATATATATATAAAACATAATATTATAATATAATATTATATTATTTTATAATGTTATAATATTATATAAGTTTTGGGAAATATCTTCCGGGAAACTCAAACTATGGACCGGCACCTTCCAGGTCTCTACCAAATTCTTTTCAAACAGCAGAGGCCAAGTCCACGAGATACCAATTTTAGGAGAGGCATCTCCTTAGGATACCCATTTCAAGGGAGCCAAACAAACCTTATGGAGTTCAGTAGTT